CCGGTGGTGGTGATGGTGGAGGATAATGTCTTATAACTGATTGTAAACTTGGTGTTCGCTGTAACGTAGGTTGTTCTTGTTCCGTTGCAGTCTGAGTTATTAACTTCTTGTATATTACATATAATAATAAAGATAGTATTACACATGCTCCTACTGATAAACCTCCAACTGCGTTTAACGTTTTCCTATGGAAATGTAATTCTTCAATTCTTTTCAAATTTTCCTGTTGTTTAATTACAATTTCTTCAAACGTTAAAGATTGTTTTCTAGGTTCTAGTTTTTCTATAGTGGTGGGTGGTAAAACAAAAACTCGAATTCAAAACCAAATAGCGTTTTAGTAGGTGTTTGCTTAGTGGTTGTATGCATTGTATTATTATGTACATGCATTGCATGATGTAACCACTCATCCCAATTTGACCCATCTTCTTTCACAAAATTCCTCAGGAACTCTGCTAAAGGTCTATGACTACGTTCAAGAGCTCCATTTGCCTGTGGATGGTAGGGTGTAGTTTGAAGTTTTTTAATACCCAGAATTTTACATGTTTCTTTAAAAAGCTTTGATGTGAAATTCGTTCCATTATCCGTAATTAAAACTTTAGGAATATTAAACTTTGCGATAATTTCATTAAAAAACTTTCTCGCCACTGTTGAGGCTTCTGCATCTGGTAACGCAGTACATATTAGATATTTTGAAAAATCATCTTGAAATGTCAAGATGAGTTTATTCCCACTTTCCGTAGTCGGTAATGGACCTACTATATCCATGAATACTTTATCAAACGGTCTTTGGGGCGTGTCAGTTAGAATCAGTGGTAATCTCTCCACTTTTGAGCTTTTGTTCTTTTGGCATTTATGACAAGCTGTTATGTATTCTTTTATTTGTTTTTGCATGCCTGCCCACTTGAACTGCTTTCTTATTCGGAAATAAGTTTTAGTTACCCCTTTATGACCTCCTATTGGTGAATCATGAAATTTTTTCAAAACTTCCTGAATGTCTTTTTTACTTGTTAAGTATACTGCAAAATCTTCGTGTGTATGTTCTATCGAATCTTCTATCTCCTCTTGGTTTTTATTTGAAATTGTATTTGAATTTTTTGCAAGTTCCGCCTCTTTTGCTTTACCCCTTGTTATAACCGCTATTGGAAGTCTACTCAAAGCATCCGCATTTTTGTTAGTCTTTCCTGGTTTATAAAAAATCTCGAAATCATATTCTAGTAGCTTCAAACGAAATCTTCCCAGTCGCGTGTCTTGATCTTTTAGATTAGCAATTCCACGTAATGGCTTATGGTCCGTATATATTTTAAAATGTCTTCCCAGCAAATATGATCTAAAATTTCTTGTTGCCCATACTATAGCAAGTAATTCCTTCTCTATAGTTGAGTATCTTTTTTCAGTACTGCTGAGAGCACGGCTTGCGAAGTAAATGGGTAAGTCTGATCCAACTTCTCCTTGGGATAGTACTGCCCCTAATGCTTCGTTACTAGCATCCGTTGTTAATAAAAATTCTTTTGAAAAATCCGGATACTGTAAAACTGGTGGACTAGTTACTGCTACTTTCAACTGGTCCATTGCTTTTTGACATTTCTCATTCCATTCGAACTTTTCTCCTTTCCTCAGTAATTTGTTCAATGGTAATGACACTTGAGCAGCTTGTGGAATAAATTTTCTATAGTAGTTTATTAGACCTAAAAATGATTGCAGGTCTTTTACATTTCTAGGTACTGGGATGGCTGTAACACATTTTGTTTTCTCCGGGTCTGGTATCACTCCTTTGTCTGAACATTTATGTCCTAAATATACGACTTCTCTCCTTAATAGTTGACATTTCTCAGTTTGTAGCTTTAAATTGTTTTCCCGAAGAGCTTGTAATACATTCCTAAATCGTTTGTCATGTTCTTCTAAATTACTGCCGTATATTACAATATCGTCAAGATATACAAAGCAATCGATTCCCTGTAGTCCTGTGAGAATGCTATTCATTATGCGCTGGAATGTTGCGGGTGCTCCCGTCAATCCAAACGGCATACGTCGAAATTCAAAATGTCCAAGTCCCGTACTAAATGCTGTTTTTTCTCTATCTTTGTCTTCAACTATCACTTGGTGATAGCCACTAGCCAAATCCAAAGTCGTAAAATATCTACTGCAACCTAACTGATCTAAAATTTCATCTATTCTCGGAATTGGAAAAACTTGTTTGATGGTTTTTTCATTTATTTTTCTGAAATCTACCACTAGACGCCATTTCTTTTTCCCATCTGTACCTGGTTTTTTAGGTACTAAACTTATTGGTGAATTCCATGGTGACTTGCTTTTAGTTATAATACCTTCCTCTAGCATTTTATTTACTTGTTTGTTTATCTCTTCTTTATGTGTTTCTGGTAATCTATATTGGCGTTGATTTATTGGTATCTGCCCTAATTCTGTTGGAATCTCATGTTTCAACACAGAAGTGTATGTAAGTCTATCTCCTGGTAAATGAAACACATCATTATATTCTTTAATAGTTTTTGTTATCAGGCTTCTTTCTTCTGCATTTAAATTATTGTCCAAATTTACTGTTTCTAATAGCAACTCATAACGTTCATCCATATCAATTTCCTTATTTAAATTGACATTTGGTAGCCTGTATTCATCATAATTACACATATCACTACCCTCTAACTCAATTTCTGTATCAATTTTAACAGAATAATTATTTGCATTTAAAATTTTTACGTAGCCTATACCATTTATTACTTTAGTAAGGCATTCTCCTGAGTAAACCTTTGGCAAAATTTCTTTTTTATGAACAATTACTGTTCCTTCTTTATGTGTTGTTTTTATTGGCACTACCATTGTAGATCTAGGTGGGATCGTGATACATTCAGTTATACAAATCCGACCGTGATCTGCAATGTCTATCAGAGGTAAAACTGCCACTTCTTCCTTATTATCATGAAATTTTAAAACTTTTCCAATTGTATCCATTGTTGAACGATTCCATAGTTCATCTCTTCCCAGTAATCCATCTGCTGGTATCTTGCTTCCCAATGGAACTACATGCATGTTGAATTTTAACTCAGTAAATTCCTCATGCTCTATTTTTACTGTACCCAATGTACTTATGTTACCACCAAAGGCTCCTATTAGTCCCTTTGTATTGCTTTTATTTATTTCTGCTTTATTTAATAACGCTTCGGACTTTATCAAACTTGTGTCAGCTCCGGAATCCACTAGAAGTAGCAATTTATTGCCCACTGCCTGTTTACAAGGTACTTCTATATAGGCATCATCGAACGATTGACTAATACCGTCCATGGTATTGTAATTCGTTCCCGTAACCCGTGGTATTCGAAAATTCTGCGACATCCAAATTTTATTGACTTTCAACTGCTCCCAGAGTGTTGAAAAAACTGACATTATTAACATGCATATAATCAGTACATGTATTACAATAATTTCCAAATATTTCTTACATTCATTTGATAATTGTTCTTTAAATTTCTTATATGTATCATCTGTCATATTCGTTAACTTTATGCTATTTACTTTCAAGTTATGAGATTCTTTTGCTTCTATTATAGTTAATTTATTTTCCTTCTTTTTTCCTAATACATTCCTTTGGACTTCCTCTTTTATTTTTGATGCTGGTTCCCATTTTTGTGTTATATTTATCCTTCTTTGTTTGTCGGCATTCCAGTCTAGCGTCTTAGACTGGGCCGATTGGAGTTTCCCTGCTGAGTAGGTAGCGTTACTCGGCAAACCTTTGCCATATGCCCCTCTTTTCCACATTTGAAACATTTAATCTTCTCTCCTCCAGAGCTACTGCCAATTTGATTATTCTGTGGTCTATTTCTGTGTTGTGAATAATTTTGGTTACTTGTCCAACGACTATAATTATTTGTTATTTGTCGTTGATTTCTATTGTCTGAATTTACAAATTTACAAAACCTGTTTTGTTCATGCCCCTTTACTTTACAAATATTACAAAACAACGTATTCAATTTCTTAAAACATTTGGAAGAGTCATGCCCCATTTTTTTACAGAAATCACATGTTATTTGTTTCGTACTTAGCTCATTAATTGTACCAATTCTACATTTTGGGCCATTCTCATGACCATATTCACCACAATTTGAGCAGTACGGTGTGTTTTGTCTGTCTTTGCAATTTACCCATCCATGTCCTAAATTGTTACAAAAAACACACTTTGTTTCCGTTAACGACATGTTAATATTAGAACGATGTTCCCCTAATAGTTCTTCCGCTGATTCTGCTATGGCCACCAGTTTAGTTATTGTGTCATTCTCCAATCCAATGAATCGGTGTTTCAAATTATTGTCTCTAAGCCCCTTTATGAAACACCTGACAGCTAACTGTTTGTACTCTCGTAATTGCGACAGGATTTCCACTTCACCCCCTTGATTTTTTATTTGTGTCTCCGCTTCGTGGAGTAGAACCTGTAGGCGCCCCCCATAAGCGGTAGCAGATTCATTCTGTCTTTGCTTGTTGAGTGTTAAATCTTCTCTGATGTGCTCTAAGGTCCTCCTTCTTAAATACGATCGTTTGACAGCTTCGCACAAATCGTTTATTGTAAAGTAGGGTCTATTAGCAATATTGTCGTATGCTATACCCACTAACCGTTGTTTTACACAACTTACAATATATTGTGCTCCAGCTTGAGGTAAAGCTTGTTGCACTAGTTCGCAACCAGCTACAAATTTATGTACCTCTCCTCTTAGCTCCGGGCCTTCTGTTCCAGCGAAGTATGGAACCACTTTAGATACTGTTTCCATAATTACACTTATGGACGTCATGTTTCGTTCCGTTCCTAATCCTTTATTATTTGCCAACTCCTCTTCCGTTGTTTGAATATTTGTTTTGATCATTGGTTTATTTTTGTCGAAAACACTTTTATTT